AGCCCGGACGCCCGGAGCCCGCCCCGCGCGGCGCCCCAACTTTCACGGGTTGGGAAAAACACCCCTCCGGTGGCGGTGGTGGTGGTGGTGGTGGTGTGAGGGGGGCGGCCCGGGCCCCGAGCAGGAGTGGCTTTTGTCCCTCGTCCTTGTTTACGCCGAGAAACTTCAGACCGGACGTGTCTAGTCGAGAGCCGAGATCCGTCTCGGGGCCAAGGCGATAGGAAGCGCGGGGTTCGCCCCGGCCGGGGTCCGAGCGCGGCCGCCTTCCGGTCCCCCGCTCCCCGCGGAGTTTGCAAGTGACCGCGAAAACTTCCCATCATCTGGAAGGGTCTGCGGCGCGCTCGGGCCCCGCTCCGCGCTCCCTGCGCGGTGCAGACCCACAAGTCGGCAGCGCTAGTTGTCTGACCCTCGGTGTTGTCGATTAAAAATGGTTTTACACGTTTAAAGACTAGTTTAAATGACCGCTTAGGTATTCACTCCAAACAGACAGGCAGAAATAAATACTGTGAGTGCACCATTGTGGCTACGCTTTACTGAGATCGCACACCGAGAGGCCGGTTTTTTGTTTGTTTCTTTTTTTTTTCTTTTTTTTTTTTCCCCAGGGGGTTTGGGGACTTGGCATAGCCTCTGATAGAAATTGGCCATTGCTGTCATTTTTTGGTTTAGTCTTATGGGAGGTTGATGTCACTCGTGTTAAATAACGGGTTCCTTAGTTTTTCATACACTAAGAAATATAAGTTTCTTAAATGTCAGTTTCATTGCTAATGTCAAACGTTTTATTTATTTTTTTAGAAAAATAATTAATCATGGGCAAAGGAGATCCTAAGAAGCCCAGAGGCAAAATGTCATCATATGCATTCTTTGTGCAAACTTGCCGGGAGGAGCACAAGAAGAAGCACCCAGATGCTTCAGTCAACTTCTCAGAGTTTTCTAAGAAGTGCTCAGAGAGGTGGAAGGTAAGAGGGCTTAAAACGGACTGAGGAGGTAATGACGGTCAAGTCTACGTCAGGATTTTTAAAAGCCTAGTTGCTATTTGCATAATGTGAGGGGTGGTGTTAGAACAGGTTACTGAATAGCTTAAGGACACTGGTTTTAATACCTCCGAGAACAATTTATTAGAACTTTATTACCAATCTAAGTTTACAAATAATTCTTTCATAGACCATGTCTGCTAAAGAGAAAGGAAAATTTGAAGACATGGCAAAAGCGGACAAGGCCCGCTACGAAAGAGAAATGAAAACTTATATCCCCCCCAAAGGGGAAACAAAAAAGAAGTTCAAGGATCCCAATGCACCCAAGAGGCCTCCGTAAGTGTCTTGCCATTTTTCTTTTCAAGAAATGTTTTGCAGTAAAATTAGAAATTCAGCAAGCCACCTTGTGGGTTTGGAGTGTATAATCAAAGTTTCTTAGCTAGTAGGAGCTCACGTTGGTACGTTTAAGTATCATAAGTAACCTTCGCTTCGAGTGGGAGTTGTAGCCAGAGCATTCGAATCCGACACTTGCCTCCTTCACCCATTATTTCTCCTGAATGCAGTCTTGATTATTTCTCGAGAATTACTTAGAGTAAAATGCACAATGTCTTTTTGGAATCAGTGTATGTAAATGAATTGTCGGAAGTGAATTGTAAATTAAGCTTTGGTTATGAAAGAGAGTTAGCACGTTATATCTGCGCCCTGTCCAATGCCTGGTAGAAATTAGAAACAGCTTTTACGTAGCAATACAATATATATTTGATAGTAAACTTAAAATTTCTAAATGCAATTTCTCCTTTTAGTTCGGCCTTTTTCTTGTTTTGTTCTGAGTATCGCCCCAAAATCAAAGGAGAGCACCCCGGCCTGTCCATTGGTGACGTCGCGAAGAAGCTGGGAGAGATGTGGAATAACACGGCTGCAGACGACAAGCAGCCTTACGAAAAGAAGGCTGCCAAGCTGAAGGAGAAATACGAAAAGGTGAGGAGAGCGCGTTCGCTGGGCGTGATTAGCGAGAGAGTGTGCCAGGTGTTAGGCCATCGTCCTTGGTCCCTCATCTTCGTTTTCTATTTTGCGGTTTTGTAAAGAGTTAGAGATGTGACGCAGTTTTTAGCGTAACAGCTACATTCATTTATGCCATTGGCTATAGCCTTAAGTCCTTTTGTTTCTTAAATAATATAGAACATGCAAATACGTCGGTAACTTTTTTGTATATGTATATGTCATTTGCATTGGGCAAAGGCCATATATCTAAGCTGGGTTTGTTATTCCCCAGTATTTTCGAGTCTGAAAATTTTGGTAGTTACCTTGAGTCAGGAAATTAGTTATTTTAGTTGGTCAGGCTCATAGTATAAAAACAGGCCGGACAAGGTAATAGACTATGTTCTTCATATACATACCCTGAAACATCTATTTTTCTCCCTTAGATAACCCAAAAACTCAATTTTGAGTTAAAAAGTTCATGTCTGTGTAATAAATTGATATTAAGATAAAGCTATAAACCCTATACTTTGAGTGGAAATGTTTAAGTTATATTTAGGCGTATTTAATCACTCTGGGGAAACGTATTCAAGTTCTAGATGTTTCTTAACCTGATGGCACGCTCGCAGGCGAGTTATTTTTTAAAGACAAGATTTCCCATTACGGGTCAGGGTCTGACGATGTAAACCTGTAGAATGCTTTTTTGCATTCAGAAGGTGGCAGTGTCTACCCTTTAATCAGAGTCTCTACATTGTAGTGCCAAGACACCAGAGTTAGGATGGGGAACGTGATTTCCCTTCGGCGAGGCATAGCCTCGCGAACGTGAGCCCACGCGGGTCCGTGGGCTGCAGGTGACCGACGACAGTCATCTCGCAGCGTTCCGTACGCGTCTCTTCAAGTCCTGGTTACTGTGGGTCTCAGGCCGTGCTGGTTGGGGGGCCTGGGGTCTCGGTTCTTCCTCCCGCTCCGCCGTGTCACTTTTCACGTCTCCCCTTACTCATGGTTTGTCTTCCCCACCAACTCCTCCCGCCTTCATTTTGGAAGGATATCGCCGCATACCGAGCTAAAGGAAAGCCTGACGCTGCGAAAAAGGGCGTCGTCAAGGCCGAGAAGAGCAAGAAGAAGAAGGAGGAGGAGGAGGACGAGGAGGACGAAGAGGAGGAGGAGGAGGACGAGGACGAGGAGGATGAGGACGAGGATGAGGAGGAGGACGACGAATGAGTCGCTGGCGCAGTTTTCTTGTCTATAAAGCATTTAACCCCCCTGTACACAACTCACTCCTTTTAAAGAAAAAAAATTGAAATGTAAGGCTGTGTAAGATTTGTTTTTAAACTGTACAGTGTCTTTTTTTGTATAGTTAACACACTACCGAATGTGTCTTTAGGTAGCCCTGTCCTGGTGGTATTTCAGTAGCCACTGACCTTGCCTGGTACAGTATGGGGGTTGTAAATTGGCATGGAAACTTAAAGCAGGTTCTTGTTGGTGCACAGCACAAATTAGTTATATATGGGGATGGTAGTTTTTCATCTTCAGTTGTCTCTGATGCAGCTTATACGAAATAATTGTCGTTCTGTTAACTGAATACCACTCTGTAATTGCAAAAAAAAAAATTGCAGCTGTTTTGTTGACATTCTGAATGCTTCTAAGTAAATACAATTTTTTTTATTAGTATTGTTGTCCTTTTCATAGGTCTGGAATTTTTCTTCTTGAGGGGAAGCTAGTCTTTTGCTTTTTCCCATTTTGGATCACATGATTTATTACAGTGTTCATCATTTCATGTAGTTAGTTGACTGATAAAAAGCTTTTTGTCTACACACCCTGCATACTCATGATGAGGGTAATCAGAGTTCAATTGGGACAGTTTTCATCCATAGCCGAAACTCGAAAATCTCGATCAGTTGATATCAAATTTCACACAGCCCAGTTACATTTACGAAGTGAAGAGTAACCAGTCTGCTCACAGCATGGGATTATTAGAATCAAACGTTTTGAAAGTCTGTCCTTGAAGGACTAAATAGAAAAATACGTTCTAGTCTTTGCAATGAGGACTCCACGTTCTTTAACTCCCATTACCATGTAATGGCAGTTATATTTGCAGTTCCCACGTGAAAGACCTGAGGATGTAGCCCCAAAAGCGTGACCTTAAAATACAAGACTGCCACGTTACGTTTTTTGTTGACGTTAGTCTAGGCAAAGGCTCTTTAAAAAAGTGCTGGCTGTAAATGTCTTCTATTTACCTAAATTTGGGTTGCTTAGGAAACGAGACTCCATTAAAGGTGTTTCTAATTAATTAGGCCAACTTTGAAGATCGTGTGCAACATTTAAAATCAAGTATATTTTCCTATTTTATGGTTTGTTCCTTTATAAATCCAACACGCGAGAGAAGACAATTTAAACTTTTGTGTCTCAGTATGAATTGTCCAATTTATTTGAACTTGATTTTACTTTACAAAACTCAAACTCATTCATTAGGATCATATGTTTATCTGCTTAGCTGTTTAGGGAACAATTTGGCAATTTTGTGGTTTTTGAGATGATCGTTCTCTTAAAGTGCCAGTGTTTTAAAATAGCGTTCTTGTAATTTTACACGCTTTTGTGATGGAGTGCTGTTTTGTTATATAATTTTGACTTGGATTCTTTCCATTGCATTTGTTTATGTAATTTCAGGAGGAATAACTGAACATCTGAGTCCTGGATGATACTAATAAACTAATAATTGCAGAGGTTTTAAATATTAGTTAAATGGCTTTCACTTAAGATTTTAAGATTTCGTTATATACATATTTTAATCTTGTTTCTGATGATAATTTAGCAACACCTTTTAAGTAAGTGTAAGGGCTGACAAAGTTTTTTCCCTTTAAAAATATTCGCTTTATGCTTATAAATAGGTTAATGGGCCGATAAAAACAGATTTTTGCCAAACATTCCAAGTGTTCTCAGAGGATGCTATATATATAAATGAGGAAAAACTAATTTTACTTTCAGAATGTTGGGTTAAACAAGATAGTGGTTTTTTAAAGCAAGGCACATGTTAAGTAAAAAAGCAGGGATAGCGATTATAAATGTAAAAAACCGGTTTTCAAAGCCGAGTGAGAACCACAGTAGGAAGGCCGAAATCGTGTCCAAATTTATCAGATTTTTAGTCGAGAGGAACAAGTCAGTATCATCTGATTCATGCAGAAGTTTTCTGCCATAACTGTGGAACCACCATTGTCAGCAAGTCTGATCCATTCAGAAGTGAATTCTGTCTCAGATTTCTGTGTGACTAGTGGGTGTGTCAGAACAACCGTGTTTTAAGACGTTGAGGATGGGAACAAGGTTTCGGGGGGCTAACTGGCTTCAGATCTTGGCAGGAAAAATGGACCAAAAAAGTTTTGTTTAGTGTTTCACAGTAACACCCCTGGAACTTAGATGTCTGAAACTCAAGTAAATGAAGGTGGGAGGCAATTTAGAGAATTTAGTGTAAAACAGTAACTGGTCTTTTTAAAGTTGATGTTTACAAATACAGCATTGCGGGATATAAAGCTGTTCTTAACATCGAGGAAAGATTAAACAATCGGTACATATTTCTGCAATTTTAAAATCGGTGTACTGATTAAAACTTAATCCAATTTGCTAACTTTCCTGTAGGAAAGTTGGGATCTCTTGCTGGTAGTAATTGTTCTAATGATTTTCCATCAAGGTGTTTGATATTTACCATATTTCTGAATATTTTTAGAGTGAAATCAGAAAAGGGAGATCTTGTGTGTCGTATGCATCGCAAGGGTAAGAAATTATAAGCATGTGACAGTATTCAACAAATACTTTCCTCACTGCATGGGGAATTGTAAATAATAGCTCAGACGTTAGTGTCTGGCTATATTGAAAACTACACTGGAGAGACAAAATAGTGATTTTTGAATGAAAATCATGGCCAGCTCCTTTGGCATCACAATCTATGAGGAAAGTTCAAATCTAGGTCGGCTTGAGACATCACGCTTTCTGAAAGATCCTGAAATAGCTCTTTTTCAGTATCAGCCGGGCACCGTTTACATATGATCGTGTCACTGCAGATTTGCACAAATCCGATACAGCTTAAATCTTGGAATTAACTTGCTTGAGTGTGAACCACTGGCTAGTCATTAGGCTGTTTATTAAGGGATTGCAGTAAGTTATTTTAAATGTTTTTCATACCTGTGCTTCATCATTTTCCAATGACTCTTGACGTCCTATAGAAAAGCCAGAAAACAATTTGGATACCTGTACAACAAAGGGTGCAAGCTGGTTGGTTTTCTTGCCCCTTCTAAGCAGAGATGTGAGCAGCAGCGCTAAATCACAGGCCATAACGTGGGAAACTCCCTGGGTCTGAGCCAAGTTGCTCCCTGGAGTAACAAGGCAGAGTCTTGCTCTGTTCTGGGACTGCTACAATTCAACGCTACGCCATGGTGCAGAGGTAAATGCCACCCCCTATGGATGACACCAGCATCATTTAATATGCCGCACTCCGGAATATATAACACCCGTTTTCCCGAGGGGTTTGGTCTGAAGTATATCTACCGGAAGGAAGTGTGATCAGTTATGCCTTTTAGGCATGTCCGTTGGTTGGGACCTACAGAGTTGAATTTATTGGTCGCCCACTGAAAAAGGAAGTTGTAATATAGATGTGGAATAATGCGAGGAATTGAGAGACTGTGAGTGACGGCAGGAACTTGGAGTGGTAGGTCAAGGTCGGGTACGTGGAGACAAAGCCAGTGAGGGACAGAAAATTAGTGAAAGGGGTGTACAGAGACTCTGTAAGTCTTTATCACGTAATTTGTATTTTTCTCTTTAGTCACAATTCAGGCATATGAGTGATGTTTTGTGATCTGATGTCTCAATCCATTTGATCATTGCTGATGGTCGTTCATGTCGGTCGCTGGCTTTTGCTCTCACAGTTCCGTAGCGAAGTCTCCGTTTCTCTTAGCCATGGGTAGGTCTGTGGGTTCCTCCAAGTGTAGTTGCTGGATTAAAAGATCTGCCTTCACAACTTTGGCAGATACTGACAGATTGCCCCCCAAAAGGCTATACTTAACCGTGAGACATTTTAACAACGATTTTTATGATAAATCAAGATTTTTACTGATTATTCTTTGGCTCTATGAAATAGCTATTCATTCTTTAAAGACGAGAAATTAAAATACTGAAATACTGTCATTTATTCAGAGCCACCCAAGCACAAGAAGGTAGAATCAACTGAAAAGACCCTCGGGTTGCCTATTGATTAGTTAAACTACTGAATACATTGCTTCTCTGAAAAGTTACCGCAATAACTGAATATTTAAGTAACCCGTTGTGTAAAAAATGAGAAACTCCTTCCCATCTTGGCATCCTGCATCCCAAATGGAGCATCTGGTAGTTTTATCTGCTTTTTCCAGCAGAGATTGTGTCAATCTTTACAGAATAGGTTTGCAAAAGTGAAGCTGCAAATTGTAGTCGAGGACTGCGAGCTTGATTCTGGGCACCAGGAGGTGGCAGGTCACTTGGGAGAGTGGAGTGGACCCTGAGGACTTGCTCCACATGGGGTGACATGGAGCACTGCTGTACTCCTTGCTGGAGATGGCACTTGAGGGTACAAGACTCGCCCCAATGCATATATAAACAATCGTAGTCACAGCCTTTAAAGTGGAATTAAACTTCGTTCCTTAGAGTTACATAGAACCTCTAATTACATGCTCCACCATATTTTCATTCATTGCGTGTTAATTAGAGATCATCTCCTAAAGTGTTCTGAACATAAGTAAGAGAATACAAAGTCCCAAAACATAGGAAGTCCCCGTTGGGTGTGAGAGTACTCCTAAAGAAAAACAGGAAGCCCAGTCACCACATCCTCAGGTGCTGGTGTGCTGCCCAGGACGGCGTGAGGAGCGAGCTGGGGGCACCTTTGGGCGCAGAGAAACGTGAGCGGGCAGCACGCCCTGCCACCCTTGTGACGCCTCCCGATCATCCTCCTGTTTACCTCGACTGGGAGCACTTCCGGACAAAACAAAACAAAAATACTGCCAATCGGGTAGCAAGTTGCAAGCCACCTGATTCTACAGAAACGGCCGGGGGGATGTGTGCCGCTCCCGAGGTCTCAGAGCTGCCGTGACCCACCGCTCAACTGCAATGCATTTGGAAAAACCGTCTACGCTGCCTGGGAACGCCATGCGTGTTTATTGAAAGAAAACAGCAAGGAACAAAAATCTACAATCCTACTAGTCAGAAAGACTCTTAAAAACATTGAGTGCCCTTCTAGTTAAAATTTTTAAAACAAGTGAGATTCACGTAACAAAATTAACCATCGTAAAGTGTACAGCTCAGTGGCATTTGGTACATTCACGGTGTTTTTAACCACGGCCCCTGACTGGTTTCGAACAGTTTCATCAGCCTCGAAGGCAATCCCAAACCCATCAAGTCCCCACCCCCTTAGCTCTCGACAACTACCAATCTTCATCATCTCCATGCATTTACCTATTCTGGATATTTCATAAATGAAATATCCAGAATAGGTAAAAGTTTTCAAGGTTCCTCCACATATCAGTACGTGTCAGTACTTATCCGTCTTATGGCTGAATAGTATTCCATCGTGTATTCCATATAAATTACAATTTATTTATCCGTTCGTCCATCGAAGGACACTTGACCCATTGTCCCCTTTTAGCCACTGTGACGAGTGTTCTTATGAACATGAGTGCAGGCGTATTTGTTCGAATCTCCATGTTTAATCCTTTGGGGCGTATACCTGGGAGCGGGATTGCCGGATCCCGTGGTAATTCTGTGTTTAACTTTTCAAGAGACCGACAGAGTCACAGCAGCTACACCGTTGTACATGCCCACACCAGTGTGTAAGGGTTCCAGTTTCTCCACAACCTCGCCAACGCTTCCTGTTTTCCTTTTTTTTAAACAATAAATAATAGCCAACCATGTAGGTATAGAGCAGTGTCTCCTGGTGGTTTGATTCACATCTCCCTAATGATTAGTGATGTTGAGCATCTTTGCATGTGCTCATTGGCCATCTGTATGGTTTCCTTTGAGAACTGTCTGTGCAAGTTCTTTGCCATTTTTAAATTGAGTTGCCTTTTGTTTGTTGGATATTTTTGTTTAACAGAGATGGCACTATATCTACATTCTATTTGTAAACTACTTTGTCGGTCGCCATGTATTATTCCGCACTGCATCTTTTTAATTTCTCCATGGTACTCCACCGAGTGTACAATACCGTCCCACGTTACCAGACATTTGCGTAGGTTCTGATTTTTTTACTATTATCGATAAGGTTAAAATGACTATCCCTTCCCTCTTCCACCCATAGCCTTGTGCCCATGATTATTTTGTTGGATTTTTTAATATATTCCTCAAAGTGAAATTGCTGAATCAGAGGATGAGCCCAATTTGGTGAGTTTTGCCATGCCGCCTTCAGAAAAGTCTTCACCCAAATGTCATAACTTTTTAGAAGGCAGTCCAGACGATCTTACATATAAGGGATACAGAGTAGGGGCACCGTTTCTAAGGTCAAATAAAGATTCGCGCCTACAGCAGTGGGAGAAATCGCGAAAATTTCCAAAGCGAGCAGATAAAAAGACTGCAGCCTGGGAGAGACGTTGGGATGAAACGTCCAGTCCCCATTATACTTCTGTTATTTTACTACTTTTCAGGTTGAAGATAAACAGAAAGAGCTTTGATAGTCAAGTAACCACAAGACTGCAAGAGATGTGTCAATCAAATAGAATGGGCG